TTTTTCGTGCCTTTACAAACCTCTATCTGTGAGTGAGGTAGCGCACATCCATCATCCCAACGCTTTGGGAGGCCAAGGCGGGAGGATTGCTTGAGGCTGGGAATTCAAGACCAGCCTGGTAACAGAGCGAGACCTCATCTCTACCAAAAAAATTAAAAATAAAAAAAATTAGCCAGGGGTGGTGTCGTGTGCCTCTAATCCCAGCTACTCAGGGGGCTGAGGCAGGAGAATCGCCTGAACCCGGGAGGTGGAGGTTGCAGTGAGCCAAGATCACGCCATTGCACTCCAGCCTGGGCGACAGAGTGAGACTCCGCCCCAAACAAACAAACAAACAAACAAACTTTATTTTGGAATTTCTCATGCATGCAGAAAAATGCAGGAAGGGTGACGAGGGCTTGATGCGTTGTTTTTTTTTTTTTTTGAGATGAAGTCTTGCTCTGCCACTCAGGCTGGAGAGCAATGATGTGATCTCGGCTCACTGCAACCTCCGCCTCCAGGGCTCAAGGTACCTTTTCCGCCTCAGTCTCCCGAGGACCTGGAACCACAGGTGCCCATCATCATACCACACCCGGCTAACTTTTTGTATTTTTGGTAGAAGTGGGGTTTTGCCATGTTGCCCAGGCTGGTCTCAAACTCCTGACCTTGTGATCCACCCACCTCGGCCTCCCAAAGGCTGAGATTACAGGCGTGAGCCACCGTGCCCGGCAACAAAATGTAAAACGCTGCCTTTATATGGTGTCTATTGCTATAAAAAAAGGCTACCATTTTTATGGGGTTAGATCTATGTTTTGTCTCTTTTATAACCTCCTTGGTTGCCTGTCTTAGAAAGGCCCATCCCACTCCCAGACAAGCATTCTCTTCAGTCTTCTTTTAATATCTCATAGTTTTATATTTAAACCTCTAATCCATCTGGAAATGATTTTTACATATTTTGAGGTCAGGCATCTATATTTCTTTTCTTTTCTTTTTTTTTTTTTTTTTTGAGACAGGGCCTGGCTCTCTTACCCAGGCTGGAGTGCAGTGGCATGATCTCAGTTCACTGCAACCTCCACCTCCTGGGTTTGAGCAATTCTCCCCTTTCAGCCTCCCGGGTAGCTGGGATTACAGGCATACGCCACCACGCCCGGCCGATTTTTTGTATTTTATTTTATTTTTTTTTTTGAGACGGAGTTTCGCTCTTGTTACCCAGGCTGGAGTGCAATGGTGTGATCTCGGCTCACCGCAACCTCCGCCTCCTGGGTTCAGGCAATTCTCCTGCCTCAGCCTCCTGAGTAGCTGGGATTACAGGCACGCACCACCATGCCCAGCTAATTTTTTGTATTTTTTTTTTTAGTAGAGACGGGGTTTCACCATGTTGACCGGGATGGTCTCGATCTCTTGACCTCGTGATCCACCCGCCTCGGCCTCCCAAAGTGCTGGGATTACAGGCTTGAGCCACCGCGCCCGGCCGATTTTTTGTATTTTTAGTAGAGACGGGGTTTCACTATGTTGGCCGGGACGGTCTCCATCTTCTGACCTCGTGATCCCGCCTGCCTCAGCCCCTCAAAGTGCTGGGATTACGGCGTGAGCCGCTGCGCCCTGCCAGGAGTCTATATTTCTGTTCGTCCAAATGAGAAGCCATTTCTTTATGACCATTTAGTAAATAAACCATCCTTTCCTAGCTGAATATAAATTCTTTTTTTTTTTTTGAGATGGAGTTTCGCTGTTGTTACCCAGGCTGGAGTGCAATGGCACCATCTCGGCTCACCGCAACCTCTGCCTCTTGGGTTCAAGCAATTCTGCTGCCTCAGCCTCTCGAGTAGCTGGGACTACAGGCGCGCACCACCATGCCCAGCTAATTTTTGTATTTTTAGTAGAGACGGGGTTTCACCTTGTTGACCAGTATGGTCTCGATCTCTTGACTTTGTGATCCACCCGCCTCGGCCTCCCAAAGTGCTGGGATTATATAGAAATTCTTGCAGTTGTGTATTCAGATCCTTCATCTGCTGAAATCTGTTTCGAAAACTTTTTTAAAAAATTTCTCTACTTATATATTCCTGTGGTCAAACTATGCTTTGATTATAGCAGTTTAAAGAGGTTTTCAGGACAGGTGTGGTGGCTCTGGCCTGTAACCAGCACTTTGGGAGGCCAAGGCAGGTGGGTCACCTGCACTCAGGAATTCAAGATCAGCCTGGCAACATAGTGAAACCCCATCTCTACAAAAAATAAAAAAAAATAGCCAGGCATGGTGGCACATGACTGTAGTCCCAGCTTCTGGGGAGTCTGAGGTGGGAGGATCGCTTGAGCTCAGGAGGTCCAGGCTGCAGTGAGCTGAGGCGGCATCACTGCATTCCAGCCTGGGTGACAGTATGAGACCCTGTCTCAAAAATATACATAAATAAATAAATAAAGATGTTTTAATATATGTTAGTGAAAGTTCCTTCTCACTGTCCTTTCTGAAAAATTTCTTGGCTCTTCTCTGACATTTATTTTTCCATTTGAAGTTGAAAATTATTCTGTTCCGGGCCAGGCGCGGTGGCTCAAGCCTGTAATCCCAGCACTTTGGGAGGCCGAGGCGGGTGGATCACGAGGTCAGGAGATCGAGACCATCCTGGTCAACATGGTGAAATCCCGTCTCTACTAAAAATACAAAAAAAAAAAAAAAATTAGCTGGGCATGGTGGCGCGTGCCTGTAATCCCAGCTACTAAGGAGGTTGAGGCAGGAGAATTGCCTGAACCCAGGAGGCGGAGGTTGCAGTGAGCCGAGATCGCGCCATTGCACTCCAGCCTGGGTAACAAGAGTAAAACTCCGTCTCAAAAAAAAAAAAAAAAAAAAAAAAGAAAGAAAGAAAATTATTCTGTTCCATTTAAAATAGGGTAAACACCTCCAAACTTCCTCTCATACCCTCTCTTTCCCCGGGCTGTATTGAATTAATGTGTTAATTCGTGACAAGTTGACTTACTGTTAGTTTTTCCACTTATTAGAGTCCCACTCTGTACCCAGGCTGGAGTGCATTGGCGCAATCTCTGCTCACTGCAACTTCTGCCTCCTGGGTTCAAGCGATTCTCCTGCCTCAGCCTCCCGAGTAGCTGGGACTACAGCCACCTTCCACCACTCCTGGCTAATTTTTGTATTTTTAGTAGAAACGGCGTTTCACCATGTTGTCCAGGCTGGTCTCCAACTGTTGACCTCAGATGATCACCCGCCTCAGCCTCCCAAAGTGCTGGGATTACGGGTGTGAGCCAACGGACCCGGTTTTCTTTCTAATTGTAATGGGTGTAGAGTTCACATAGCAGTATCTTTATGGTGCAGTTGGGTTTTGTTGAATATCTGGATTGTGTTTGGATAGTCCTTTCTATTCCTTCATTCACTTTTTATTTGAACTTTCATCCCCTCACGCTCCTGGATGGTTAATCAATTACAGGATTGACTCATTCAAGAAACACCTGCCTCATTCAGGGACTCAGGAGTCCAGGCCCTCAGCCCCTCCTCCCTTGGGAAGTTAAGCATTACTGTCTTCAAAATCTAGCTCCCTCCTGAAGGAGGGAGGTGGCCAGGCGGGGTGGCTTATAGCTGTAATCCCAGCACTTTGGGAGGCCAAAGTGGGAGGATCCCTTGAGCCCAGGAGTTAGAGACCATTCTGGGCAAGATGGCAAGATCTCTGTCTCTGCCAAAAATTAAAAATCAGCTGGGCATGATGGTGCGTGCCTGTGATCCCAGCTGCCTAGGAGGCTGAGGTAGGTTGATCAAGACTAGTGAGATGTGATCATGCCCCTGCACTCCAGCCTGGGCAATAGAGAGACCCTGTCTCAAAAATTAGGCTGGTGCGGTGGCCCATGCCTATAATCCCAGCACTTTGGGGTGCCAAGTTGGGAGGATTACTTAAGGCTGGGAGTTTGAGACCACCCTGGCCAACACAGCAAGACCCCCATTTCTAAAATAAATACATAGTTAAGTAAGAAAAAGAAATGACTGGCCGGGTGCTATGGCTTAATCCCAGCACTTTGGGAGGCCAAGAGGGGCGGATCACAAGGTCAAGAGATGAAGACCATCCTGGCCAACATGGTGAAACCCTGTCTCTACTAAAAATATAAGGCCAGGCGTGGTGGCTCATGCCTGTAAGCCCAGCACTTTGAGAGGCCAAGGCGGGCAAATCATGAGGTCAGGAGTTAGAGACCAGCCTGGCCAAAATGGTGAAACCCTGTCTCTACTAAAATAGAAAAAATTAGCTGGGTGTAGTGGCAGGCACCTGTAGTCCCAGCTACTTGGGAAGCTGGGACAGGGGAATCACTTAAACCTGGGAGGTGGAGGTTGCAGTGAGCTGAGATCGCACCACTGCACTCCAGCCTGGGCAACAGAGTGAGATTCTGCCTCAAAAAAAAAAAAAAAAAAAAAGAAAGAAAGAAAGAAAGAAAAGAAATGACAATTCCAATGAACAGAGGATTAGGAAAAGGCTGATGTTTGCCCCAGGGACTCCTGGGAAATGTGGTTTTCTCCTATCTCTAGCAAAGGCTGATGGGAGGTAACCAAGCCCCCTTCTCTTCTTGCCTCAGGGACTGGAATTGACATCCCTGTCCTGCTCCTCCTGATTGATGGTGATGAGAAGATGTTGATGGTATAGGGGCCTGGATGCCTGGGTCTAAGGGGGAAGGAGGGGGCCAGGAATCCTGGGTCCTGAGTCTTAGGGAGGGTCTGGGAGTCTGACCCCGGGTAGGGTGAAGAACCTGCCTTCTCTGACATGACTCTCCCCTTTATTCTGTAGCAAATAGAGAATGCCACCCAGGCTCAGCTCCCCTGTCTCCTGGTGGCTGGCTCTGGAGGGGCTGCAGACTGCCTGGCGGAGACCTTGGGAGACACTCTGGCCCCTGGGAGTGGGGGAGCCAGGCAAGGTGAAATCCAAGATCGAATCCGGCGTTTCTTTCCCAAAGGGGACCCTGAGGTCCTGCAGGCCCAGGTAGGACACTGGGGGCTCAACTCTGGATCCTGAGATGGGAGGGAACTGGGGATTTGGGCTGCTGGGTCTGAAGGAAGGGGGCCTGGGGGTTGGACTTCCGGATTCAGAGAACGTGCTGGGCGCCTAGACTGTTAGGTCCTGGAGAGCAATGGCCTCCTCCCTCCCTTTGGACAGGGCCTGCAGGAGCTGGGAGTGGGGCCGGGCTAGGTACGCAGAGTTTGCTGTTCTGCAGGTGGAGAGGATTATGACCCGGAAGGAGCTCCTGACAGTCTACTCTTCTCAGGATGGGGCTGAAGAATTCGAGACCATAGTTTTGAAGGCCCTCGTGAAGGGTAAAATAGTGCCCTCCAGCCCTCCCCTCTCTCAGATCAGCACCTTCCCCGGCCTGCCTGGGCACTTCATCCGCCCGCTGTCATCTAAGGCCCATGGCCCCCTTCCCTCTCTTATGGCTTGCACCTTTGGGGCTTTGCGTGGTGCTCTTTGGGCAGCTTTCCCAGATGCTTTGATTATGTTTCATTATCCATTCTTCCATCTTTACGTCCATCCACGTGTGCAGATCGAGCTTTCCGGCTCTTCACCTACCCATCCTTCCAGTTGTCCTTCGTTCTTCCACCCATCTATCCTTTCACCTATCCAAGCATACACTGACAATTCCATCCCCTCACCCATCCATCCGTCCATCCGTCCACCCATCCATCTGTCCATCCGTCCATCCATCCGTCCATCCATCCATCCATCCATCCATCCATCCACTCACCCATCCATCCATCTATCCATCCATTCATCCACTCACCCATCCATCCATCCATCCATCCGTCCGTCCGTCCATCCGTCTATCCATCCATCCATCCATCTTTTCACCTATCCATCCACAGATCACTGACAATTCCATCCACTCCTTCTTCCAGCCATCCATCTTTCATCCATTTAGCCATCTAAACGCTGGATTCAATCTACCTGTCCCTCTTTTTATTCATCCATCCAGTGTTCTTCCATCTATGCATCCACCCACCCGTTCTTCCTTTCCTACGTGCCTCTAATATTTGTGAAGCACTCTAGTTAGAATGAACAAAGCACAGCCTCCCATTGAAGAAGTCCAAATATTTCACTAGGAATGGCAGCTTGAAGGACTGAATGATGAAAACCAAGACGGAAGCACAATGGAAGAGGCTGGGGTGGGGGTCCTTTTTTACTTATTTATTTATTTATTGAGACACGGTGTTGCTCTGTAGCCCGGGCTGGAGTGCAGAGGCATGATCATAGCTCACTGCAGCCTTGACCTCCTGGGCTTGAGTGATCCTCCCACATCAGCCTCTGAGTAGCTGTGCACCACGACACCAGCCTAATTTATTTTTAATTTTTTTGTAGGGACAGTGTCTCCCTATGTTGCCTGGGATGGTCTTGAATTCTTAGGCCCAAGTGATCCTCCTGCCTTGACCTCCCAAAGTGCTGGGTGTAGTACAGGCTATGGTAAGGTAGAAAAAGCGGTTACTTTCGACTTTGGAATCAGACAAAACTGAATTTAAATACCACCTTGGGCCGGGCGCAGTGACTCACGCCTGTAATCCCAGCACTTCAGGAGGCTGAGGTGGGCGGATACTTGAGGTCAGGAGTTCGAGACCAGCCTGGACAACACGCTGAAACCCCATCTCTACTAAAAATATAAAAATTAGCTGCGGTGGCAAGCGCCTGTAATCCCAACTACTTGGGAGGCTGAGGTAGGAGAATTGCTTGAACCTAGGAGGGGGAGGCTGCAGTGGACCCGAGATGACGCCATTGCACTCCACCCTGGGTGACAGAACGGGACAAAACCCAACAAACAAACCGGCTTGGCCCCTTCCTTGCTGTGTGACCTTTAGAAAGTAGCTTCAGAGGGCCGGGCGCGGTGGCTCAAGCCTGTAATCCCAGCACTTTGGGAGGCCGAGGCGGGTGGATCACAAGGTCAAGAGATCGAGACCATCCTGGTCAACATGGTGAAACCCCGTCTCTACTAAAAATACAAAAAA